CACTACTGCTCTTGCAATGCACGGCCTGACAACGCTGCCACCAGGAGAGATTAATGTCCCAGGCGTCAGGGCCTATGACATTGCGATTCTTGAACAAATGCATCGAATTGAGTAATGGCGGTCCTTTCTGAGCTCAGACGCCTCGCGCGACTTAGTCGTTGAGGACCATGGGGTCAGCGTCGTCGCCGCCGATAGAGATGAACGGGCAGCTAAGCCCATGCCATTGTTCTTTCGTGCGTATCAAGGGGCACTCTTGTTTTGCTCACAGCATCGAGCGCATGTATGCTCCTTGCGAGTTTGGGATGGCACGGTGCCAGGGGCATCTGCTGCATGTCGCATCCTTGTAAAAACTAAAGGAGTCAACGCTGGGAGAAGGGGTCGTCAAGTTCCCGAACAGGCTTAGTGGATTGCGCAAAGCACTTGACTACGGACTTCTCAGATTTATACCGACGAGGTGCGAGTTCCCTGTGGAATATGCTGCGCACGTTCCTCACTGGCTCAGCCAGCGGAAGGGCGGTGAGGCTCCACCCGCCAGGGTATATCATGCTGAGGGCAATGCCCTTGCCGGCGGTGGACCACCCAATCGGGGTGCTTGGCCTCATTCAATCACCCCGTCTTTCTGGGGCACCGCAACGACGCGCAATGAGAATTGGCAATGTGTTGTTGTCTTCAATGGACGGGTAGTGACTCGCATTAGGTATTGAATCTGTCGTGATGGAACTCTTTGTGATCACGGGACAAGCACGTTTCAATGATATTTCGTGGATTGTGCAACTGCAAGTGGTTGAACAAGTTGGTAGAAACACCGTGCCACTGGTGATGTGGACCTAGGTATTTTCACAAGAGTGGTCTGCGTGGGAGGCTGCTTTCTCGTTTGGTACAATCAGAACGTGGGTCTTTTTCGATGCACAAGTGGTCGACGTAGGACAAAGTACTCTGTCCGAAGAAGAAAGGCCCTCATCATGCAGAGAATGTGGACTGACGATGGGAGGTACATGTGCGCTCAATACCATGCTGTGAGGGCTGGTTTTGGATGCTGTTTGCATTGCCTTACCCCTGTCAGGTACAGAACGTACGTCAGGGCGAATTACTTACAATCGCCAGGAGAAAATGCATTGGGTGCTGCATGGACGAGACTAGGATTAAAACCACGCCTTGATGCCACCCCGAGAGGAGATAATCGATTTAATATGGCTTCTAACCGACTAAGAGCAATGAGCAAGAGCTCCGCTGACGCTTTTGACAATTTGAGCAAGGTAGAACAGCATCAGCGCGAATGGGTTGATAGTGAACACATACGTTTCAAGACGGCTTCGGCTGGTGGTGCATTCGTGAATTCGCAGCCAGGGGCCGTTCCTTCCTGGCGACCTGACAGCGTCTCGGCACAGCCGCTGGCTCGTCGCGAGCCATACTGTCAGTACCTTGAACCCCTCAAGCTTAGGTTCTTTGACTGGCTAGAGCACAAGCATGGGGGTGCTCACCCCGCGGCTGGCCAATGGATGCCATTGATTTGGTCGCCAGATCTTGACCAATATGCTCGCCCTATGAGATGCTCTGCACTTGCCGTTTTCGATTGGGAACATGTTAGTGCATACCAAATTCGTCCGCAGACGGGCTGGGACCAGTGGGGACGAGAGATGGAGGAAAGAGGATCTGTCATTCCACCAGTTCGAGTGTTGACGGATCATTTGGACGCAGCGAACCGAGCATCTGCATCGAACCATGTAGGAAACATAGATTCCCGCATCGTTGCCGAACTTTATGATCGGCCAAGCCGCAGTGATGGAGTAGTCTCGGAACGTGAATAGAAGGCTGCGATGTCGGATGGCGTATGCAATCGCCCTATTGCACAGCGACATCCATTGCTTATTCCGAACCGAACGTTGCCCTTTTGGCTTGGTTTGGTTTCTATTTCTGGTTGCATGTGTGGTCATAACTACAACGATGAAACGTATCGAGAGGCCAGATGTTATCCAAGTTGCAACACACTTTGTTCTTGAGTACATGTCGATTGCTCCAAATACACGCCCGTTGGACGCCGACATCATTCATGACGTACCGCCGGGACTACCCGAACTTGTGGATATACTTTGGAACCAACCTTTTTATCGCATCCCCACCCATGGAAGATGGGGTCGAATCCTGTTAGCTGTGCGAGAAGTCATATCTCTATTCATGTCCGCGGGAATCAATGTTGCGTTCCAGGGGTATGAGGTACAGCGTCATCGCCAATCCACCCAATCCATGCAAGATGCTTATGCTTTGGAGTGTCGGGTCGGAGCTGCAGTAGAGACATTTTTGACTTACTTCATAATTGGATCAAGGGATTAGAAGATGAAGTATCTGAGGCCGCACGACGGAATTGTTCAGGCATTCAAGAGGCCGTGGTCTTCATACACACGTCTACGGAGCTTCAATTTAGTATCGAGATTTATATTGCCAGCAGCCTTTTTGGGGTCCTCAATGCTGATAACGCTGTTGGGATTATTCATTACCTTAAGAAGAACAAGGAAGCTGGTGGCCCAGCCAATTCTCCAAACGAGACAGTCACAGCCGCGTCGTCAGAAGATGCTGTAGCCCCAGTTGTTGAATGCATTGCCCCGAGCGGCGCCGCCGCCCCGGGGCGGCGAACTCAGCAATGCTCTCGCCCTGCGTCGCGACCGAGGTTCCAGTGTAGACGACGATCTCATCGGGCCGCTCCCTATGCTCCTGTGTCCGCCGGCTCAGCCGCGTCAGGCACCAATGCCGGCTGGGTCGATTATGATAGGACCCAGTCGTGGGCGGATGAATCCTGGACTGAGGGGCCCATCCCCGAAAGACTGGCTGTAGAGCCGGTTGGCGGCCGCGCGCGCGATGGCGGCGGCCCCGGGCCGGCCGTGGACGGCGCCTACGACGTGGCCGTCGACTGCGAAGACAAGACCGACAATGGAGACATTCGAGGATGCCCTGTGCATGCGTCTCGGCATCATCAAGTCACCGGTCTTAACAACACGTGGCAGTGGTTTAGTCTGGACGAGTGCAGCGACACATTCCAGCGCGACTCTGGGGCGCCAAGAAGCACCTTGCCGGTGCCTCTCCCGCCGCCTACGCCGAAGGCGAGACCGCCGGAGAAGGGCCGGGGCAGGAGTGAGCCAAGTAGCTGGAGCTCGAGCAGAAGAGAGGATAGCTCCTCCAGGGGCCAGAACCAGTGGCGCTGGAGTAACGGCGATCCCTGGGATGACTCTCGTGAATGGAGAGAGAGGTCAATGGGCAAGGTGATGCTGCGCAATGGGGCCAGGACGACAAAGTCGATACTGGTCCGCACTACTTCGTGGAGCGGGTGCACCAGGTGTGCGTGGGCATTGAGGCCTGAGCTGGAAATATTAGCTGAGGCGGGGAACGTCGGGCTTCTTCGGCCTTCCGCCCCCTGGCAACCACCGTTGAGCGGTAAAATGCTTTTTGGGGTTTGCTCCGGTAGCTGTGCGTATGTGCAGGCCAGGTTGGTTGGGGGTCGAGGCGACTCTACGGATCCCGCCGCGGGGGAATCAATGCGCCCCTTCCGCACCGCCATTCTTCCGCCCTGCCTGCTCTCTCTCCTTGCGCGCGCTGCCGTCTGTTGTGCTGACTGACTTCTTCTGCTACCGCAGCTACATACTCTGGCTCTAGGGCAACGGAGAAGGAGCGAGCCTGTGGCGCGCGCGCGTGCGTCAGCTGGCGGGCCGGCCTCCTTCCTTCAGTGTTACTTTACGGTATGTTTGACGGCGCTATCCCTTCTTACCCATGTCATCTGCGGAGCCCGCTGACCATGATATATCGTCGGAACATGTTGCAGGGGTTACGAAAATCCAGGCAAAGGACTGGTGGGAAAGGCGCTCTTCAATGGCAGCGTTAGGGGGATGGGCTCATTGCGTCGACTCCCGATCGCCCATCCATCGCCGATAGGAGGGCCGATCGCCTCCTGCCCAGAAGCGTGCGGAATCGCCATCGGCGCTTATCGCCGATCTATCGGCGACGTATCGTCGCTTCCAGGTCGATATTCCCCCCTCCCCCGAGCTGCCCCCTTAGCGACGTTCCCCCTCGGGCAGGCCGGCGAGGATCGGCTCGCAGGCGGGTGTGGCGCTCTTCGGCAGCGCGCCCAAGGGGAGGGCAGACGCGGCGATGAGTTTCCGAAGCCTTTTGCGAAACCACACAGGCCTTCCCAGAAGGCCGACGGGCTTCTGCGGAACCCCGCCGCCTTCTGAGAAGGCCTCCCCCCCTCGCTTGTTCCCTCGGCGCGCCGCCGCCCTGACTCCGAAAATGTTGCAATCGTGCAGGATCCATGTGGTTTCCATTTTTTTGGGCCTTCTGGGGCTGGCTCCTGAATGGTAAGGGGGGTCTCAGGCGACTGGCCTCGGTGTGCGACAGGGAGCAGACATGGGAGGAGGTATTCATAACAAATCAAAAGGGAGGAGGAGGAGGAGGAGGAGGAGGAGGAGGAGGAGGAGGAGGAGGAGGAGGAGGAGGAGGAGGAGGAGGAGGAGGAGGAGGAGGAGGAGGAGGAAGAGGAGCAGGAGGAGGAGGAGGGACCAGTGACGACGGCCGCTAGATACGCTGGAAATCCTGGATCGTATTCTCAGCCGTTCCTATGATGGCATCATTCTCGTCCTATTCATGCCCTAGGCGAACGAGGGCGAGGAGGAGGAGGAGGAGGCCTAGGAAATCCACGGCCCCAGAGGTCCCAACCCCCTTTCCTGGGGTTCGTCATTCGCCCCGGCTCTGGCCCGACAGCGGGCCTGGGAGGCCAAGGTCGAGGAGACACGCCTGGACGGAACCAAGCAAATCTTTGGAGATCAGGGCCGTCAGTCGCCGAGCGCGTTCCACTACTCGCAAAGTACCTACTCGCAAACTTCCTAAAAACACATGTCCGCTTTGTATTTTATCGTAGATCCCCTGTGGCGGATCCAGGCCACTTGCGAGTAGCTATTTTGCGAGTGGTGGAGCGCGCTCGCCTAGTCAGGGCTCCGATCCCGTGACCCGCCCAGGGCCGGCCGAGCTGGGCTTCGGCCGCGCGCTGGACGCCGCTCGGCCAGGCCGCCGCCGCGCGTGCCCTGCGGCGTCGCCGGTCCCCTTCCCCCCTGGGTACCCAGGCGCCCGATGTGTTGGGCAAGCGGGCACGCGAGCGACGGAGGCAAACTGGGGCTCAAGAGACTGGGGCCAAGGGGCCAAGGCAGACGGGGGTCGGTCAGAGTGCGGGACTTTCCGGATGCTGCAGGGCCAGGGGTGCACCGACCCGGGCTTGGGTGCAGGATCCTGCGGGATCCTGCGGGATCCTGCAGGATCCTGTCAGGTTTGGTTGACCCGGGTCTGGATTGACCCGGGTCAGAAGGTCCCCAAGAAAAGCGGTTCGTCTTCACCGGCATTAGCGCGTAAGCTGCCCGCGTAAGGTCACGCGTAAGTTCCCTCGTTTCCGTGTAGCGGGCCGCGCAGGCGGCCCGCATAAACCACCGCGCGATGTCGTTGCGTCATCTCGCGGCAAGACCCGTTTCTTTTCGTCTTTTCTTCGCCCATCTCTTCATTCAGCACGCAGAGACTTGGCACGCCGTCCTCAAAGACAACGGCATCTATCATCTTCAGCACGGTTAATTACGTCGAGAAGCCTCACTGAGCGCTGCGGCGCTACACCCCCATTTCCGTAGTTGGGACAGCTCTCTCTCTGCAGTGGCGTTCGTTGGTTCGTTCGCAGAGCGGGAGTCACGGCGGGCCCCCAGGGGAAGCTCGGAAGCAGATTTTGCAATCAGTGGGTCTTCGGGTTGTGGCTCCGACGAGGGTCGGTGCCACTCGTTGCAGTGCTTCCTTTGGGGTCACTTTGGCGTTCCCTGGGTGGTGACAGGCTGTCTTAGGAGCCAACAGAGGGCCTTTCGGGGTCCACCGGCCGCCAGGTGCGTGAGGGGTGCGCCAAGTCGAAGCTCTCTTGAACCGTCTGAGGGGTCAGCCGAGGGTCCCTGGGCCCTGGGAGCCCATGGGACGTGACGTGCGCGAGGGGAGTGCCGAATTGAGACTTCCTTGAGCAATACTGGTGCTCCCATCAGCTGTTTCTCTTGGGATGTCTCGAGCGAAGTTCCATTTCGTTTTGAGATTCGACAGGCTTGCGCCACATCCTCCGACCCCTTGACTGTAGTTCGTATCCCGTAGTTTTTTGTCGGTGCGTCCGTGAAGTCTTCTGTTTGTGTGTTTGCGGATGCGTGTCGGGTGTGAAGCGTACGCAGTTCATGGTCACCCCGTCGTTGACAGTGACGGCCCACGCCGCGCAGGGGCGGACCATGGGTGCAGTGATAGCGGATCGTGAAAGAGGGCGCGGCGTGAGTTGGATGTCTAGCTACGTTGCCATCACGCGCGTGCGAAAACGAGAACAGTTACTGAGAGTACGGCCTTTCGATAGGATGCCGTACAACGAAGGCGAGATGGCCGGCACGAAGAAGCTGTTGCAGGCGCTCCAACCAAGATGTTGCAAACGGGGCGTTGGTAAACGGGGCGTTAGTTAGGGGCCTCTTCAAGCGACAACGGTGTGACAGGGCATTGACCACGCACTAGTGCGTGATAAATCGGGACGACAAGCACGTCGACACATCATCATAAGTCTACGCGGGGGGTATACCTCGCACTTGTGCGCGGCAATTCGTTTTTTTTTTTTTTTTTTTTTTTTTTTTTTTTTTTTTTTTTTTTTTTTTTTTTTTTTTTTTTTTTTTTTTTTTTTTTTTTTTTTTTTTTATATATATATATATATAAACACCGTTCAAAACACCAGCTTCGGGCCCGTTCGCTATCGCTCCAGTGGCTTGGTCCAAGGGGAAGACGTCGATGGGGAAGGCTGGGGGGCGGAATTCATGCCGCGAGACCAGTGCGAGCGGTGCGGCGGATGCTGTTGGTTGAGGCGTTCGCGAAGTACGAATTCCAGAGGGCGGAGAGGCCAGCGTTTTGTACAGAATGCGTTGCGGAGATGAAAAGCGCGGGCGGAAATTTGTGCGAGACTTGCAACTGTGGCAACCGAAGCGGAGGCAGACGAACCGACGCGGCATGATGGTGGCTGGGACGAGGGGGAGCGGGCGACGTGGAAGGATAAACCCTTAGGGTCACGTGTCGCGCGGAGTGTAGCCGTGTCAAAACGCAGCAGATGTCGCTTCGCGGCGACCCGCGCGAATCGGGGCGAGAGCGTTGGCGCAGTGCGATGTTCTACCGAGACGTGTCGGTTTTCGAAGAGAGGGCGGATCTGTCGGAAATACAGAAGAAACACCTCGCAGCAGGGGAGAGGCTGTGTCGGATATGCGCGGAGGAGTGTGACAAATTGGCGCGAGAGGCAAACAATCTCAACCGGAAATTTGATGCTGGAGCGAAGCCGCTGACGTGCTGTGCGCCAGGTTGCGGGGTGACCTTTTGGGGCGCGGGTCATTCGAACCAGAACCAGGTGAAGGATCATCGGACGTCGAACGGAACCAGAGTGGTGTGCGGGGACTGACTGTAGCAAGCGCAGCAGCGCCGTGAAGGTAGTGGTCGATGCGGCAAAGCGGCTGGGACGAGATTTGACGCGCGCGGCGTGCAATCTGAAGTTGCCGCGGCAGGGCCACATCAGTAGCGGGCAGGAGACGGGGCATCTGACGAGGAGAGTGAAAGTGGTGTAAGGACCGTGGTTCCACGATGCGCAACTGACAGGCGTACCTCTTGGAAGGCGCGAGCCTTGTCTGTAGATGCAGGGCCCGCGCCTTCTCAGAGGCGGCCTTCTAAGAAACCTTCCCCCCTCCACCCACCCCCTTGTGCGCGCCTCCAACGCGACGGGTGGACGCGGCTCGGAACTCCGGGCAGGGCGCCCCTGTAGACCCCCAGGGGGGCCCGGACTTCCGGACTCCCCCGGCAGAGGCCGCGCGCCTTTCCCCGGGCCTCTCAAGAGCGTTCGCCGGGCCCGAAGCGCTCTCAGAAGGTTTTGCGCAGTCGAAATGGGTATTCCGAGCGTTTTGGTGAGCGTGGGGGGGCGCCACTCCCGCCGACAGCCCCGCATCGAATCCCGTCGCAGGTAGCCGCCGCGCGCCGAGCGCGTTCCGACCCCCGTCGCGGCGCGACGACGGAGCGAGGTTGACCCCCGTCGGGGGGTCCCCCGCTTATTAAGAAACCCACAGTGCGGAAAGGGTGGGGGCGAAAACCGACACCAGTTTTAGTCCATTTTGAACCACATTTACTGTCGGCGTCGCGACGGACTTTGTGTATTTGCGACGAACAGCGGCCGCTGTCGGTTTTGGACAACGTTGCTATTGGGCATCGCGCCCATTTTTCCCGTTTCGTGCGTGCCTTAAATGTCTTAGAGGCACGCGTCCCTCCCCAGTCGTCATTCTCTCTATCGTCGCCCCGTCCTCGTCCTCCTCCTCGTCATCGTCGTCCTCGTCCCCCTGCTCCTCGCAGTCCTCCTTTCAGTCCCCCTCCTTTCAGTCATCCTCCCCCTCTCAGTCCTCTCTCGTCCGCGTCCCGTTGATCACCCTGATAGATGTGGCAGCAACGCAGCGGTACGGCATTATCCTTTCTCCTTTTCTCACTTCCCCTCCTCTTTCTCCTCCTCCTCCTTCTCCTATTCGTCGTCCCGTTCCTCCAGCTCCTGCTTCCTCGCCCCACGTCCCTCCCCTTCCATCTCCTTTCCCTTCTTTCTCCTCTTCCTCCTTCCCTTCCTTCTCCTCCCTCCCTCCTGCCTCCTGCCTCCTCCTTCCCTCCGCCGCAGGGCGCGCCGCGGAGGGCGCTGCCCAAGGGGAGCCGCCGGACCCGGAGGTGGGCCTGCCGGAGCCGGAGCTGCCCCGCTGCTGCGCCTGCGCGACGGAGGGGCGAGGGTCGAGGAGGAAACGGTACTCCGAGTGTCCTAAAAAGCGTGGGGGGTGGGGGGGCGTCCCCCCCGCCGATAGCCCCACATCGACCCCCGTCGCGGGCAGCCACCGCGTGCCGAAGGCGCTCCGACCCCCGTCGCGTCGCGACGACGAGGCGAGTTTGACCCCGTCGGAGGGGGTACCCCCTCACGCTTATTATGAAACCCAGAGTACCCATGCCTCTGCCCCTGGCTCGTTTTCCCCTCTGTGGGCCTCCTGCGAGGCCCTCGTCGCCACCGTTGTATCCACCTCGAAGTCCTGGTCAGGACGCGCCCCAGGCGAGGTCCAGGAAGTATCAGTATTGGTACCTGTTGGTTTCCCCAGCTGCCCTCTCTTGCCTTCTTCGGTGGTGGCACGCGCCCCTCCACAGGCCTCCAGCGGACGGGGCAGATCATACAGCAACGCCCTGACGACCAGGAGGAGGACGCAACCCTGGGCGGCAGCCCGAGGCGCTAGCAGACGGGGGAAGCAGAGGCGCGACGCACGACTGGCGGGGAGAGAGGGGAGGATGACCCACCCGGCGGCGCAGGGAAAGGGACGGCCAAGCCAGACGCGGGGGTCCGACGAGCCCACCCGCGAATCGTTGTGGACCCCGCCGTGCCGAGCAGCGGAGTACCAGCTGCTAGAGGAGCGGCGTGAGCCAGCGGGTGCAGGTGGAGTGGCACGGGAGCCCGCCCCGCAAGGAAAGGAACCAGGCGCACCACGCGGGCCAGGTGAGCAGCAACACGGGGTGCAGGAGCCAGACGATCAGGGGGCCCACAGGTGCCGCCGCAGGCCGCCGCGGGTGACAGGGCAGCCCCAAGCACAGGGAGGCCGTCGCAGTCGGCAGCTGCACGAGGGCAAGAGGACGGGGGGCAGAACCGCTGCAGGACAGCGCAGCCCCAAGCATGGGTAGGCCGTCGCAGTCGGCAGCAACACAAGGCTCGATGGGACAGGCGAGAGGACCAGGCTCGACGAGAGAACGGCCGGCACGGTCCCGGCTTTTCTACCAGCTTCACAGAGCGCGCTCCACTATTTGCAAAGTGCCTACTCGCAAACGTCAGAAACAAAACATACGTTCGCCTCGTTGCAATGGGTCGTAGATCCACCGCGCTGGATGATTCAGGCGATTTGCGAGCAGTCTCTTTTCGAGTAGTGGAGCGCGCTTGTCTAGTGCAGATGGGCTCGGATGCAACTTCTGGGAGGCAGATTCAGCATTTCGAGCAGGAGATCGACTACAGAGTTGATCAACCTCAGACTTTTTTCGTCGAATTCACGGGGCAAGCAAGTCAAATGTTTGTACATTTTCGCGCATTCTACATAATATGTAGATTCGAATAAGAAGTTCAATCCTGTATTCGACCTCTTACTCGAAGCATCGTCGCTGGTATCCGTGGTCGAGAACTGGCCTATCCCGGCGCAGCCATGCTTCGTCCAGCTGAATCCAGCTGGATTTGGCGCTAAATTCTGGATTTACTCCAGCCTTCATCCTCATGAGTACTTCACAGGAGTTGCTTCCTGAGATGAGGTCGGGGCGGTCGCGCCGCATCGCCGACGCGTCGACGATGCGGCTCGGCGTGGAGCCCGATGTTCTCCGCGCCGACGGCGCCGATGCATCGCCAGCGTCCCCGTGCTGCTGCGCGTCCCCGCGCGGAGTGCCTCCCCCCTTCGCCTCCGATGTCTCGGCCACGGTGGAAGTGCGAAGTCCCAGCCATCGAATGACAACGCGCTGCATACATATGGCGTCTCGGATGTCTCCAATCGGCGCTCGGCCCCCTTGGCAGCGCCTCTGGCGCCGGGGAAGGAGGGCTCGGCGCAGCTCCAAGAAATCCGCGCGGACCTTCGAGAAACTCTTGACGCTTTGCGTATCCCCACCAGTTCCGTAACCCCTCTGGCTCAAGCCTGGCTCAAGCCGCTCTGGCTCGAGGTGAGCCGAGCCGGCTGTGCGCCTCGGGCGGGAGGTGCCCCGTCCTCCGGTCCGCCTGGTGGGGGCCAGGAAGACGCGCGTCGTCTTGGCCTCCCCCTCCCCCCCCCGCCCGCGCAATGTCGCCGTGCACTGCTTGCCCGCGGCAGCTGCGGCGGGCGGCGGCCGCGCGCCGGGCCGGCACCGCCGGCGCGGCCGCCGAGGCCACCGCGGCGCCGCCGCCTGGCCGGCCGCTGCACTCGGCTGCTGCCGGCGCCGCCGCCGCCGCGGCGACCGGCCGCTCGGCCGGGGCCGCCGCCGCGGCCGCTGCCGCGGCCGCTGCCGCGGCCCCTGCTGGCAGCGTGGCCGCGCAGCCCCGACGCGGCCGCCGCCGAGGCTGCCGCCGAGGCTGCCGCCGAGGCTGCCGCCAAGGCTGCCGCCGAGGCTGCCGCCGCCCGAGGCTGGCCGCCGAGGCTGCCGCGGCCGCCCGCGGCGCGGCCCTGGGCGCTGCGGAGGCCGCGGCGGCCGCCGGCCTCTGGCAGGCCGTCGCCGCCGCGGCCCGGGCGGCCCTGCTGGCCGCGGCCGCCGGCGCCGCGAGCGCCAGGCGCGCCGCTGGCGCCGCCGCCGCCGGCGGGGCCGCGGGCGCCGCGGGCGCCGCCGGCGCCGCGGGAGCCGCTGGAGCCGCGGGCGCCGCTGGCGTCGCGGGCGCCGCTGGCGCCGCCGCCGCCGGTGGCGCCGCGGGCGCCGCTGGCGCCGCTGGGGCCGCCTGCGCCGCCGGCGCCTCGCGCGCCGCCGGCGCAACCGCTGCCGGGGGCGCCGCTGGCGCCGCGCGCGCCGCGGGCGCCGCGGGCACCGCCGGGGCCGCTGGAGCTGCGGGCGCCGCGGGCGCCGCTGGCGCCGCCGCCCGGTGGCGCCGCGGGCGCCGTCGGCGCCGCTGGAGCCGCCGGCGCGCGGGCGCCGCGCGCGCCGCTGGCGCCGCTGCCCTGCGCCCGGCGGCGGCGGCCGCGGCCTGCCCCGCGGCGGCGGCCGCCGCCGCAACGGGCCGCCCCTCGGCCGCTGCGGCCGCCCCCGCTGGCCGCCTGCCCCCCGCCGCCGCGGCCGCCGCCGCGGCTGCGGCCGAGGCCGCTGCCGCCGCGGCGGCTGACGGCTTGACAGAGGCCGCGGCCGCCGTGGCCCGCGCTGCGGCCTGGGGGCCGGCTGCCGCGCACGCCGCTGCCGCGGCCGCTGGCGCCGCTGCCGCTGCTGCGGCCACGGCCGCAGTGGCCTCCGCGGCCGCCGCAACCGCGGGCACGGACAGCCCTCAGTCTGGCCTGCAGACCCCGCGAGAAGACACAGGACCTGTCAGGCCAGAAGGGAACGGAACGGGTCAGAAGGAGGCACCCTGGCTCCCTGACGCCCTTCCGGGCACCCCTGGCGGCCAGCAGACTTGGCAAGAAGACACAGGAGAAGAGAGATCTTCAAGAACTCGCGCGGCCGTCAGCGACAACCCTGGCGGACAGACCCACTGCAGCTCAGACGGCCGTCAACCGCAACCCTGGTGACGAGGGGCCCGCGAGACCTCGCGGCACCCTCTCCGACGGTCAGAAGGAGGTGCCCTTGCTCCCTGACGGCCTTCCGGGCGCCCGTGGAAGCCAGCAGACCCCGCAAGAAGACGCAGGGTCCGTCAGGCGAGAAGGGAGCGGAATGGGTCAGAAGGAGGTACCCTTGCTCCCTGATGCCCGGCCTCCGAGACGTCAAGGCACTCTTGCATCTCGGTGCCCGAGCCATCTTTTCGACTCCAGCTGCCCAGGAGAGGTTCCCTTGCGCCCTTGCAGCCCTGTGTCCGTTGGCGAACGAGGCGCCCCTGCTTCTCCTTGCCAGGGTCGCCTAGCCCACGCGGGCCCCCCTGGCGGCCAGCAGACCTCTAGAAGAGACGTCGAGCCCGGAGCGGTGATGGCGTCAGGCTCACAAGGAGAAAATGGACGCGTTGGGCCAGAGGGCAGCCAGGCTGTCACGTCGGAACAGGCGGCCCAGAGCCGCAGCAGCCCTTCGAGCGTGCCACTGGCTGGAACGGGCACTCCTACAACCCCTCACCCCCATCAGCTTCCCTGGGTCGGGGTTTTGGTGGAGGCCGAAGGTGCGCCTGGATCGGCGCCCACCCGTGACGACGGCATCGCGGCGGCAGTCGGAAGGCGGCGAGGAGGGCACCGCGCATGCAAGAGAGCCAGGGTGCCGTACATCCAGGAGCGGTTGCCCGCTGCTGCAGGTCTCGCGACGGGTGTGTGGACGCAGGTGCGACTGACCGGGGCCCGGGCCATCTGCGACTGGAAGGCCTGCCTGATTCTTGGAAGGGCGGGCGGGCCACAGGCGGGCGAGCCCTCGGGGTCTGCGCAGACGCTCCGGCCAGCGCCTCGGAGGCATCCTCCTTGGCCGACGGCGGACGCGGAACGCGCTACCTGGAGAGTCTGGAGACGGCGTCGCGCCCGGTTGAGGACGAGACCCAGCAGCGCCCCGCCTTGGCTCCGCCCGCCGCCGCCCCCGGTGCGCTCGAAGCCTCCTCGCGGGGGAGCTACGGAACCGCCTGGCAGAGACAGGGCGACGAGGCCATCCGGCAGCTTGTCGGCAAAAACCCCTTCGCGCCAGTTTGCCCTCCTCCCCCTGGCAGTGATCCCGTCCGGGCGGACAGCGAACCGCCGCCCCTCCCTCTTGAAGCCCGGGCCTCGCCGGGGAAGGCGGCATCCGCCCCGAACGAAGCGGTGTCCGACGACGTGCCCGCCCCCAGTGTGGCCCACAGCACTCCCACATCGGACGATAGCCTCGCGGCGACAGGTGTGGGCGCGCCGGCGAGCGTGGACAGGCCCAGGCCTGAAGACGAACGCCAGCGAGAGGGACTCGTCACCGCAGGTCGCAATGCAGCGCCCCCCTCTGCCCCAGCCGCCATAGGCGACCCGGCCCCTGCCTGGCGGCCAACCGCGCCGCCTGCCCCGGCCTGCATGGCTTCGCCAGGTGTCCCGGCCCCAGTGGCCACCGCGCCCTGCGAAGCCACGGGTGACTTTGTCGGGCACCGGGAGGAGTCTGACGAATATGGGGGCCGG